ACTTTTTAAGTTAAAAAGTCAAAAAATTACTAAAAAAATTAAAATCCCAACAATGTATATCAAAAAGTCAAAGATTTTTTTTTCTTCTACTTTTTACACATCTTTTCGTAAAAAATTAAAAATTCATCCCAAATATACTTATTTTTTTACATCATATTTTAGTAAAAAAACTAAAAAATTACTAAAAAAAATTAGTTCCCAAACTAGAGCTAAGGTGGTTATAAATGACCCTAAGTTTACTTCTAATTGTAGCCCTCTAATAATATGTGACTTACGAAAATATTTGACAATGTTAAACACACAAAAAAAGAAAAAAATTGTAATTGATAATATTTCCAATTTTCTCAATTTTATAATGCTTATAAAATTTGGAAAATATTTTGTTTGGTTTGATTTTTAAAATTTATTTTTAAAAAACTAAATACTAATTAAGTAAAATAAATAATAAATCTTAAGTACTCAATTCTAAATTTGAAATCAAACAAAATTTTGTTTGCCATGGTGATTGAGAGTTTTGCCCAAAAAAATAATAATTTATGAATTAGTTTTTTTTGCATTGCATTGCATTTTTTTGGGGGAATTACACTGATATGAAACTATTTACAAAAAAAAAATATAAATATTAATAATTAATATTATAAAATTTTTCATTAATATGTAATAACTTTTTAAAAATTTTCTTGAATGAAAATGTCTCCCAGTTTTTTTCAAGGTAATTGTGGATTAGATTAGAAAGTAAAATTGTATGTTTTCATTAGTCAATTGTGTGTATAATTTTTTTTTTTTTAATTTTCTTCTTTTCTCTTCTAACCTAATATTTGAATTTCATTTTATTTAATATTATATTGTTAAAGTAAATTAAGAATAATTAAGGAAAAGTTATTAATAATTCCCATTATGAGAACTTATTTAATGTGAAGTCTTGTGTAATTTCTTATAGAGTTTCAAGTCCTATTTAGATAGGAATGTATTCCACAAAGTCTTATGAGTTGTGAATAAATGGTATTAATATACTAGTATACCTTATAATGGCAAAACCATATATAGGAAATTGAATATTACCATAGATTATATTTATATGAATGTGAATTTAAATTTCAAAATACACGAATAAGCAACATTTTCACATTCAATTTAAAAATCAAAAACCTAGTAAGTTTGCGAAATATAACGTGACACGTACGTAAATACTAAATACAACAACGTCACAACACAAATTCAAAGAAAAAATATAACCAAACGTAACACACACAAAACATGGCAACATTACAAATGTGGGTTAACATTACAACCTAAATGTAACGTCATTGGAGGCTAATGAAAGTGTGCCAATGTATGGATGTATCATTTTACAATGCGAATGTGTTTTTTTTTTTGCATCTGAATGTCGCATTTGATATGGTTACGTTACATTACGTTTATGTAGGTGTTACGTTACGTTTCGCAAACTTAATGAATTTTTAAATTTTTTAATTGAATGTGAAAATGTTGTTAGTTTATGGAAAAATGGTACATCAATACATTGACACACTTTCATTAGTTTCCAATGACGTTATATTTAGGTTGTGATGTTAACCCACATCTGCAATATTGTCATGTTTTGTGCGTGTTACATTCGGTTGTATTTGTCTTTGAATTTGTGTTGTGACATCGTTGTATTAAGTGTTTATATACGTGTCACGTTACATTTCGCAAACTTAATGGGTTTTTAATTTTTTTTAATTCAATGTGAAAATGTTACTGGTTTATGAAAAGTAGTACATTCATACATTGGCACACTTTCATTAGCCTCCAATGACATTACATTTAGGTTGTAATGTTAACTCACATGTTGTCATGTTTTGTGCGTGTTACATTCAGTTGTATTTTTATTTTTTTTTGAATGTGTTATGACATTATTGTATTCAATGTTTGCGTACGTGTCACGTTACGTTTCGCAAACTTACTAAGTTTTTGATTTTTTAAATTGAATGTGAAAATATTGTTTGTTCGTGTATTTTGAAATTCAAATTCACATTCATATAGATATGATCTATAGTAACATTCAATTTTCTATATATGATTTTTCCATTATTTATGATATTAACAAATAATATTGAGGGTAAATGTGTATTTTGAAATTCAAATTCATATTCAGATAGATATGATCTATGGTAACATTCAATTTCCTATATATAATTTTGCCATTATTTATGATATTAACAACTAATATTGAGGGTAAATGTGTCAGCAAACTTTTCACGGGACTTATGAGAACATAAGTTTTCTAATAAGATCATATGTAGCATAAGTCTCCCTAATAAGACTTATAAATAATTTTTTCAATAATTAATTGCATTTAGGGACCCATAAATTTGTATAATCGCTGAAAAATTCCTAAATAACTTTGAGACATGGATTTTGACAACCAAAAACAAAAATTGCAAATTTTAGAACTCCTATCAATTCTCACATGGCTGGTTTTTCTCTAACATTACCTTCTCTCTTTGGATCATGGCATAGATGAGGTAAAATTGGCTGCAACTATTGTGACAAGCGTTTTTATATATGACAACTGGTAATAGGTGTCTGAAGGGCATTTGTTAATATTAAGAATATGAGAAAAAGTATTTTAAAAAATTATAAAATATTAACAAGTGATTTGAAATTTATAAAAAAATATATTTAATTTAGTAATAATTTTTTTTTTTTCATTATTTTCTTGCGCTTTAGGAACAACACTTTTATATATATAATTAAAATTTTTAATCATATTTATATATGTAGGCCTCGTTTGCGAACAGGCTATTTTAGTAATTTTTTAGCTTTTTGACTAAAATATTAGTTAAAAAAAAATTAGTATGTTTGATATGACTTTTTGACTTTTTACGAAAAGATATGCAAAAAGTAGAAAGAAAATGAAATTTTTAACTTTTTGATATAAGTTGCTAGCTTTTTAATTTTTTTAGTAACTTTTTGACTTTTAGGCTAAAACAGGCACTTGCCAAACGAGGCCTTAGATGATCAGAAATATGTAAAGATTGGCTTGATGTATATAAGGCCTGGTTTGGAGTCTTTGAAAAAAAATAAAAAGTCAAAAAATTACAAAAAAAAAAATTAAAAAATTGTCACTATTCACAAAAAAAAAATAGTAAAAAATTAATTTAACACATAATAACATTTCAAACAACTCAGCGGCATAACAGGTGGAGGTGCCTTTTTTGAAAAATTGCATGGTTTTAGGTGTACAAATAACAATGTGTTGTTCGGCCTGTAGGGGCCCATCAAGGGTCCCGTTTTAATAATCTGAACCGTCAATGTGTAGAACTTATTGAGTACTACATACCTGTGAAAAATCACGTTGATCGGATATCGGTAAGTATATGATCAAATCAGTTAAACTTTATAAAATGGATGGTGGTATAGTTAACGGTTGAAAAAAACTAATTCAATCAGATAGCTATCGATATCCGATCAACGTGATTTTTTATATGTATATAGTACTCGACGAGTTCTACATATTCACGATTTTGATTAGTAAAACGGGACCCGTGGTAGGGCCCCAAAGGCCGAACAACACCTCTAATTCAATACCCAAAAAGTAGGGAATCATATCCCAGGCACACTCTCCACACTGTCCTCAATTATCCCACCGTACCCTATTTCATCTCAATCTTCTCCTATACACTAATTTATACAATTTTTTAATACATATTTTTTCATAAGAAGTCAAAAAATTATCCAAAACAATCACATTTTTTTCCTCAACTTTTTAGTCTAAAAAATACACTTATTTATGACACCCCAAACAACTCCTAAATTGGACTGAATCTTACTTTGGCACATTTTGCAAAACTTTTAAAAATTGTCTTTCATTTTCATGGCGCTCTTTCTCCCTCTCTCTGTAAGAATCCATAATTGAAATCTTTTCTCTATTCTATTACGTAAGTATTAATTGGGTTACATAAAAAAAAAAATAAAAAAGAAAAAAAAATGGAGAACGGGTCATTGTTGTGCAGTGTTTCCTGCTGTGCCGTTTCAGTCCCTTTGTTTTTTTTTTTGTTTTTTTTATGTTCGTATTATATTTTTTGACGTGACAAATTATATTCTTTTTTATTTTAGGGTTTAGGATTTAATTTTTAAAATTTATTTTTTTTATTTTAAGATTTAGAGTTTAATTCTTAAAATTTATTTAATTTATTATTTTTATTTTAAGGTTTAGGATTTAATTCTTAAATTTTATTTTTATTTTATTTTAAGATTTAGGATTTAGGGTTTAATTCTTAATTTTATTTTTTTTTTTATTTTAAGATTTATGATTTAATTCTCAAAAAAAAAAAAAAGAGTAAAAGAGCCCCGGTTTATCCAAACCAAAAATAAAAAATAAAAATAAAAACTCATAAACACTGCCGTTTTATTTGCAGGGTAGGGATAACAGTGAAGGAATCACAGCAATGATCCCTCATCCAAAAAAAAATTCCCCATTAGGTACAAGGTTATAAGAAGGCTAAATAGTGATTGAATTAACTATCCCAAATCCTCTATCTTTTCACGAGATTTATAAACACATAAGATTACTAATCATATGCTATTTTCCACAAATTATTATTCTCGGGTGGTAGCCATCTATTTGATGACTAGATTGGTTGATATATGTATTTTTTTCATGTTATTAGTTTATTTGTTAATTTTACTTAATTTATTAGAAGCAACATCTTTTAGGATTAACAATCTTTAAATATGATATTCATGTTAAAAATGCACAATTTAAATTTGTAACCTATTTCTTGATAATCATTTGGTTGCATTGGCTAAATAATAAAAAGAGACAAAAATATAATTGTGGAACAAATTCTCATTTACTATAAATAATATCAAAGAATCAACAAATACGTAGCAGTCAGTATCAACCACCCCCGCCAAGTCAATCAAAAATTAAATAAAAATTAAACATAAAATATCTCCTAAAAAAACACACTTAATCTTAAACTCCGGCGAAGTGAGTAAACTCCAGATCGGATCTAAATCAACAACGTCGCGGCAAAGAAGACTACAGCAGCGGATCCGGCGACGGTGACTCTGTTCAATGCGCCGGTGCTAGAAGGAGTAGAAGAAGGAGATTGTCCGGGGGCTGAGATCGTGGATGGAGGAACGGTGGCGCCGGAGGGAGTGGAGGCGGAAGCGGTACCAGGAGCAACTGGAGCAGAGGTCGGTGGTGCGGTGGTAGGGGCGGAAGTAGGAGCGGTGGTCGGTGGCTTCATGGAGGGAGACGGAGTCGCCACCGCCTTGGGAGGCGATGCTACCGGAGACTTCGCCGGTGATGCTCCCGGAGCTTGAGCGAAGACTGATCCGGCCACCATAGCGAACATCAACACCAACACTAGTGCGCTCGAGTAAGCCATTCTTGTCGATTCACTCTCTCTTCTCAAAAGATAGAAAGGAATAGAAATGTAAATCGATGAAGGTTCGACTATAAAATAGAGAAGCAGAGAGTTTTTAGAGAATTTCAGAGAGAGAAACAGAGATTGGTATTTTGATATGAAGCCTTAGAGAAACGGAGTATATATATAGGGGCGGAAGGGACAGCGTTAGGGTTTAAGAACAATTAATTCGGAGAAATAATACTAAATAGTAGGTGGAACAGCGTTGAGGGTTCTGATTGTCAATCAATCATACGGCCTGGTCAAATAGTAGGTGGAAAGTTGAGTCGAGGGAGAGAAGGAAGGTAGTAAGATTGTTTCATACTGTTTGATTATTAAATAACGAAAGTTCCAGGGTACCGTTATGATTGACACGTTCGAGGTTTTTTTTTTTTTTTTTTTTTCATCTTTACTTTTTTTTTTTTTTTTTTTTTTTTTTTTGTTAATTTTGGGTTTGAATCATAAATTTAGAGGTTTAAAAAGAATTAAAAAAAAAATTATGAAATATGATTAAAAATACAGTCTTAAGAACTATTTTTCAATAAATGACTCTCAATTCAAAAATTACACCTCAATTGCCCAACAAGTTATTTTATTATTTCAAAAAAAAAATATCAAAAATATGAATGAATCACTGATAATTACAAGGTTGTGTGGTTTACACAGTGTTTGGCAACTTGTTTTTGAGTTTTTTTTTTATTTTTTTTCACTACAAGACGAATATTTTATAAAACTAAAAATAAATAAATTCAAACAAAATATCACATTAAATCTGATAATCATTTCACTTTTTATCTCACAAACATCATATCCAACTATAAAAAAAAAAAATTTCCAATAAAATCTTACAATTAAAAAAACTTACAAAAAAATTCACTTCCCAAACACTCACACTATATAAAATGTACAATTATACAACTGTTTGTGATCTATTATGTTATGTGTTTGATTGTTGTGTTAGAAACACAGCTCACATTGTTCTAACGCCCTTTATGTTTTTAGAAATTGTTATTCTAAGGATGTGTTTGTTTTGAAAGATTAGGGAGTGGGATTGGACTATAATCCTATCAGACTAATAGTCCATTATTTGTGTCATTTTTTTTGCTCCAGACTATCATATCCCATGGGGGAGGTGGGATAGAAACCATGAGATTGGTATTCCATGGGATTATTTTGTGAAATGTCCATTTTACCCTCCATGCAATTACTTAACAAACAATTAGAAAATGATAAAATAGTCTTTTGAACATTTATAAATTATTTTTTTAGTGTTGTTAATTTAAAATTATATATTAAATAAAAAATTTAAATTATACATTAAATTTAATTAAAAATAATAAATTATAAATTATGGCCTTATAAATTAAATTTTTTTAGTGTTGTTAAAAAATTAAATTTACATATTAAATTAAATTATTTTTTTAGTGTTGTTAATTTAAAATTATATATTAAATAAAAAATATAAATTATAAATTAAATTTATTTAAAAATAATAAATTATAAATTATGGCCTTATAAATTAAATTATTTTAGTGTTGTTAAAAAATTAAATTTACATATTAAATTAAATTATTTTTTTAGTGTTGTTAATTTAAAATTATATATTAAATAAAAAATATAAATTATAAATTATAAATTTAATTTAATTGAATTGAAAATAATAAATTAAAATAATTAAAATATTGTGCAAAAAATAAAATAAAACAAATTTTTATTTAATCTAGCTAAAAATAATTAAAATATGAAAGCTATGTTTAATATTGCTATTACTTAGTAAATAATTGAAAATGATAAAATAGTCATTTGAGCATAATCCCATGGCTAAACAAAAATAGGATACAAATTTAGTCCAACCAAATAGTCCCGGGACAATGTATCCCAAGACTAATAGTTCGATGGATTACAATTCCCCCTTATCCAGTCCGTCCAAACAAACGCACCCTAAGTCTACTTCCAATTGTAGCCCTCCAATAAGAGCATCTCTAATGCGCTAGCCATATAATACTTGTTAGTTAAAATGCCTAGTGTGATTCACTTTTTCAATTCCAATGCACTAGGTATAGGATTAGGCATTTTGGCTCAACTCATATTTACTAGCTACATGTAACTAGCCTTCAACGCTAGGCAAAATGTATTTAATCATTAGGATCATTTCCCTCCATCTTTGTTGTTGACGTGGCATTCTATAAAATTAATAGTATTTGGATAAATAGCTAAAATAAAGAGCATGGTTGGAGTAAAAATATAAAACAGTTGATAGACAAAATAAAATATATACTTTATAGTAATATTTAGATAGGTAAAATGCCTACTACCGTTGAAGATGCTCTAATATATGGCTTTTGAAAATATTTGACAGTGTCTGTTAATAGAATAATGTATATTGATTATATTTTCAATTTCCTCAAATTTGTAATGCTTATTAAATTTGGAAAGCATTCTGTTTGGTTTGTTTTCAAATTTTGTTTTTGCAATTTTTTTTTAAATTAAATATTAATTTAGTGAAGATATAATAACTCAAAAGCATTCATCATTTTATATGATTTTAGAATTTATTTTTGCCAAACTAATTTCTCTTTTTTCCAAAATAAAAAAAATTAAAATTTTGATTATAAAATTAAAACCAAAAATAATTTTATTTCCATGGTGGTTGAGAGTTTTGCAAATTATTTATTTTATTTCCATTGCATTTTTTACAGGGTAGTTGTGGATTAGACCAGAAAGTGATATTGTCTACTTTGAGAAGTTAATTATATGTATAAACTCTTTTTTTTTAGTTTTCTTTCTTGTCTCCAAGGCTAGTATTTGAATTTTTTTTTGTTAATATTATTAAACTTTAATATTATATTGTTCATGTAGATTAAGAATAATTAATTGCATTTACAGGCTCATGAAATTGTATAATTGTAGGAAAGTCCCTAAATAGCTTTGAAATTTGAATTTTAAATAAAATTTGCAATTTTTAAAACTCCCACCAATTCTCACACGGATGATTTTTCCTCTCTTTTATGTCACAATTAAATTTTCTCTTTGGATCATGGCATAAGGTAAAATTGGCTCCAACTATCATGCAAATGCTTTTACACAAATGGTAACAAGTGACCAGAGGACATTTGTTAATATTGAAAATATAAGAAAAGTGTTTTAAAAAAGTATAAGAAGATTAAAATATGTTTTGAAATTTATAAAAGATGTATTGAATTTAGTGATAAGTGTCTTAAAATATATATATATATATATATATATATATATATATATATATTACCATTTTGAGAGTTGTATTGCTTTGATGATTTTTTTTGTTTTTTTTTGAGCAGCAAAAGGCCATAGATTAATAAAGAAAATATATGACATGAGAGCACCCAGAGGGTAAGCCAAAGTCAAGCATCACCAAAGGAGATGCCCGAACAAGAGCAGAGCACCTCAGGTTGATAAGAGAACAACCAAAGGAAGCAAGAAGAAAGCAAATACAGAACTAGCCATTGATACAATTTCTAACAGCGGAGATGTTGTATAGAAAGTCATTGATTGAAAAATGGAGCTTCTTGGATGTAGCCTTCAACCAGATTGCAATCCTGGTGACAATGAGCTCTTGCAGCTCCTGCAGATTTGGCGAAGAATCTTGAAAAAGACATTCATTCCTATGTTGCCAGATGGACTAGAGAGTTACTAGAGGAATGGCGCACCAAATTTGACGTTCAGACTTTTTGCAATTACAACCTGTGACAACCCTCACCGCTGATTAGTACTAATCTATGATTAAGCATGTTAACTGACTGATTGACTGAAAATCTGAACTGATTGATTGAATGTGTTAGTTAAATGTATTTCTATCTGTTTGACTGTTAAATGATATGTTCGTGTTTTAAGTTTCAAACTACAAATTGAAAGCCTTATCAACGGCCAAATCTGAAATTGATTAGTGTTTTGTGCTAGTTAGAATTTATGTAATTTTATGGTATATTTAATTGAAATTTGATTTAGAATGATTAAATTGGATTAAATAGTGTTAAATCACATAAATTAGACTTATTTACCTTAATGCCATTAAGTAGACTTTGCTAGGCAATGTCTAGTCTTGCTTTACATGCGTTGGCCTCACTTTTTATCGTCTTTCTTGAGAGACCAAACGTGAGAGAGAGCTAGAGAGTTGGAGAAGAGCTTGAGTTCTTCATTTTTGCTTGGAGACTTGGAGATTTTGAAGTGTGATTGCATATTTGAGCTTCTATCTTGTAATTGAGGAACCTAGGTAAGGATTTCATCGTTTTAATTGTGAAATCAAGTTGTATTTTGTATGATTCATGGTAGATAGGAGCCTAGGGTCATAAATTGGTTTTAGATGGTTGAATTGAAGCTTGAATCATGCATGCATGTGCATATCATGAAGTTTGAGGTTGTTTTCAAAGAATTTATTGCACGCATGTCCACATTTTTGTTATAGTGCATGAATTCATCATGTTTGAGAGTGAATTAACTCATTTGATCATGCTTTGGAAGCTTTGAAGTTGATTAAATTCTTGCATGTTGGATGTTCATCATGTTTTTGATGTTTTATTTGAAAATGGTGTTTAATTGACTCGCCCTTGGGCTTTGATTTTACAAATTGATCTTCAAAACATGTTATATTATGAGTTTAAAGTGTTTTTCCAGAAAATGAGCCCAAGAGATTGAGTTTTGATGCTTTAAAGTTGAGTTTTGAGCTTAAGGTTCAAATCTAGAATTTCCAGATTTTAGACCCACGCTCGAGCTAGGAACTCCCCGCTCAAGCGTACACTCTGAATACATGAAGTCCGCTCGAGCGAGGTAAGTGGCACTCGAGCGTGAAATTCGTGTATCCAGTACTTTGCATGCGTTTACAGTCCGCTTGAGCGAGAGAGTTCGCGCTCGAACGAGGACTTGTATCTCACGCTCGAGCGTGGATAGAGCACCCGTCGAGCGTGATTTTTGTGCATCCAGTACTTTTACTGTAGCTTACAGTCCGCTCGAGCGACGGAAGTCACGCTCGAGCGAAGTTCATTTGTCTGTATGCCCGCTCGAGCGTAGAAAGCCACGCTTGAGCAAGACCCCTATTTTCTGAAAATTCTGAAAAGTGTTTTAAAGTGCATCTTTACATCCTCATTCCATCCTAGGCATTCCTAAGCCTAGCTTAAGACATCTTAATGAGGATATTGATGTAGAACTACACCGAGGCAAATTAGGGATTAAGTTATTATCTCCCAACTGTGTAGCTTAGTGTGTGTTCATTCTGTAACTGTAGGGTTAGCATCCGAGGACGCTCTAGCTGCTTATAGCCCAGTGCTCTGTGAGTAACTATGTTGTAAAGATATGTTCTATTGAGATTATTTTCTGAACAAATGACTATACTGCTTTATGAAATGACACTGTTTACTGAATGAATATTTGTCCTATTTGGGAACTGTATTCGTGGCATCTATAGCAATATACTGTTACTGAACTGTTACTGTTACTGTTACAGAGATTTCTGTCGGTTCCCATGTTTGGAACCACTACTGTTTACTGATATGATGGCCATCATTGACTGCTCGGTCTATTAAGACCTACTGTACTGTTTTGCTATTGGATGTACCACATATGACTATTATAGTTTCTGAATGACTGTTATGGCATGAATTATGAGCCACAAACTGAATGATTGATATACTGATAAATGACTGTTTTCAATACTGAAAGGACATTCATTCTTAACCTCTTTACGCATATGTTATTCACTGGGCTTTAACTTACTGTTTATATATATATGTAGGTGTTCAGGCACCGGACCGGAGTTAGGAGTATCGGATTAGCTCTTATTTTGTCAAGCCAACCACCGTGCCGCACTGCGAGGTTCCAAGCTCTTCAAGTTAGGGCTTTTTGAGGTGTTTTTGTTTTCCCCCTTTGTATCTGGTTTTGTAACACTGTATAGACTGAATGATATGTATATCTGTACTGTACTGTTATGGTAGGGATTTGGTTCCTAACCCGAATGTTTGTATATGTATGTATAGTACTGTTTGTTCTGAATGTGAATATGTTTTAAAAAAAGCCTTTTTGCATACAGACTGTCACAGCTCATTGGACATCTCTCTTATTTTGTCAAGCCAACCACCGTGCCTCACTGCGAGGTTCCAAGTTCTTCAAGTTAGGGCTTTTTGAGGTGTTTTCGTTTTCTCCCTTTGTATCTGGTTTTGTAACACTGTATAGACTGAATGATATGTATATCTGTACTGTACTGTTATGGTAGGGATTTGGTTCCTAACCCGAATGTTTGTATATGTATGTATAGTACTGTTTGTTCTGAATGTGAATATGTTTTAAAAAAAGCCTTTTTGCATACAGACTGTCACAGCTCATTGGACATCTCTTAATTACTGTTTTGGCTTCCGCCAGCCCCTGTACTCTGTATTACTGTCTTACTGTTAAGCAGGCCTTCGGTAATCTCGGATTATTGACCGGTTACGGTGCTAAACCCATAGGGGCGGGTTTGGGTCGTGACACAACCTGACCACCATACCAGCAGATTTGGGACAGAATCTAGGACAACCCAATTAGGCCCCCACCACTGTAAAAGCCCAGTCCAGACTCTCCACACCAGAGGGCAAGAGATTAGTACATGTTCTACTATTTCCTGCTGTGCTTTATAAAAGATTCATAGAGTAGAGGCAGACCCATCCAAGATACCAATACGCTGAAGGAAGACGAAGATTTTTAACTTATATTTCCATGCAAGCCAACTGAAAAACTGCACTTTGGGCGGGAGATGCTTGTTCCACACCAAACAAATAGAATGATCAAAAGCTCCATGAACATTGCTGGTATGATTATAAAAAACCGAGACAAGAGATTGCCCTACCCTAGCTTCTAACCACACTGCACTGTCTTGGGCTTCTAAATTCAATGTGGGAGTTAGAGATAGGGTAGCAGTGAGTCTATGGAGCTTGCTCTTCTCCCAGTCAAAGAGGGGCCTCCGAAAGGCGAAAACCCAATGCTTAGTAGGGCCAAAGACATCCACAAAATCCTTGAGCAGCCCATCCTTATTAAGAGATAGTCTGAAGATCCGAGGAAACTCATCTTTCAAACAAACATCTCCACTTCAATTATCACTCCAAAACCTGATTCTGCAATCATTACCCATCTTTAATTGTAGGTTATTGGCATAGAATTGAAAGAGGGGCTCATTCAGCTCCACTGTTGATACAATACCATTCCAGATGTTTCAAAACTTGATCCTTGGACTGAGGTTTGGAAATCATCTCCCACCGAGGAATACGTATTTGCTGCAGATGATTTTCTTCCAAAGTAAGTCATTTTCAGATGCAAACCTTCACCACCACTTTAGGAGTAGGCACACATTTACATTTCTAATGACACTTGTTAACAAGACTGTTTACATATTAAATGACTTATTTAGATGACTAGGAATATATAAAGACTTTCCTGATGAATCTTACTATGATCTAATTTTTCAAAATTTTACTCAAAAAAAAATATATAAAAATTCTCCATTTTTTGGTTGGAATCTTTTATCTATTCTCTCAAAGATATATAAAATAAGGCCAAGTTTGGGATGTTCCAAAAAAGCCAAAAAGTCAAAAAGTTACTCAAAAAGTTAAAAAGTTAACACTATTCACCAAAAGTCAACAATTACGGCTGCACAACTCCCAATTCTAATTTTCCTCTCCAAACCAATTTTTACAATTTTTTATTACACATTTTTTCATAAAAAGTCAAAAAGTTAACTCAAACATCCATATTTTTTTCCTCAACTTTTTAGTCTAAAAAAGACAAAAAGTACACTTATTTATGACATTCCAAACAATTGACACATCCTTTCAGCATGTGACAACTTTCCGTCCACTGAACCTAACTGTCGTTATTTATTGGACTAATATGACACAATCAGTTAAATTAAGAGGCAAAATCGAACAAATTAAAACTAGATGGACCAAATTGACATATCGTGTAAATTACATAGACCATATGCATAATTTACCCCAGTATTAATTGATTGAAATTAAATTACAAAATTATATAAAAAGCCTTATTACATGCAAGGTTCCAATTCATGAGATTGAATTAGCCACTCCTGCCGCTTGATTCATAATTTATGCTATTTTTTCCCCCAAATAATTAATCCACTATACTATTTTTCCCCTAATAATTAATCCATTTTTGAGTTGTTCTTGGTGAACTTATTTTGTGAGCTTACTTGAAGCTCTCTTACTAGTTTACTTAGGTTTTGTGATCTATTTCATGACTAGATTGGTTGATATATGTATTTTTTTCATGCTATTAGCTTGTTTGTTTATTTTACTTTATTTATTGAAAACAACATGTTTTAGGATTAACAATCTTTAAATATGATTTTCACGTTAAAAATGCACAGTTTATGTTGGTAACCTATGTCTTGATATTTGTTTGGAAACTTTGATTTTTAGCCAAAAAGACATAAATTGTCAAATCATTCTCATAATTCTAAATCACGATATCGGGTAACGTAACGGTATCGATCGTGGAGTATCAGTATAAGTAGTATTAGCTGGTATGTATCGGAAATTGAGTGTGACAATCGTGAAGTTTCTCAACCATTTTTACAAGAGTATTAGCCGTCACAACTTGTATAACGGCTTGAAAAACAGTTACGGCCCATTAAATAATGAGAATCGGCTGGTTCGCCAGTAATTTTCAATCACACTGCAATATCAGGCGGTATTCGTATCCGTGCCTTGATTTTTCGATATGTATTGGTCGGTATTTTAGAACTATGATCATTCTCTATTTTTTTATATGTATTTTTGTAAAAAATTAAAAATTTACAAATATTTCTTGGCAATTTTAGCTAATTTAGATTGAGAAAAGTATAAACCTTCTGTCCAATTTTGAAAAGTTTAAGATTTTTTAAATTTATTGATATTCAATCAGTTTATTTATTTTTTATACTCGAAGTGAGTCCCACAAATCAGACAATCGTCAAAGTTGGGCATACTGTGGATCTTTTTGGACAACCAAAAATAAAATAATGAACAAATAAAATGAGACGGATGTAATTTTTGAATAACTTTTCATTTATTATAAATAATATCGAAGAATCAACATGTATAACTGTAAAAAGGATAATGTAAAATCAATCCAGTATGAACCACCACCGGCAAGTGAATAAAAAAGAAATTTTAAATTAAACATAAATCTACCTATCTAAAAACAAAAACACTTTTCTCAACTCCAGCGAAGTGAGTAAACTCCATATCAGATCTAAAACAACAATGTCGCTGCGAAGAACACTACCGCAGCGGATCCAGTGACGGTGACTTTGTTCAAAGCGCCGGTGCTAGAAGGAGTAGAGGAAGGAGACTGGCCGGGAGCTGAGATCGTAGAGGGAGGAAGGGCGGCGCCGGAGGGAGGAGCAGAGGTTGTTGGTGCGGTGGTAGGGGCGGAAGTAGGAGCGGTGGTCCGTGGCTTCATGGAGGGAGACGGAGTTGGAGAAGGAGTCGCCACCGCCTTAGGAGGCGATGCTACCGGAGACTTCGCCGGTGATGCTCCCGGAGCCTGAGCGTATACAGATCCGGCAACCATAGCGAACATCAACACCAACACTAGTGCGCTCGAGTATGCCATTCTTGTCGATTCACTCTCTCTTCTCAAAAAATAGAAAGGAATAGAGATATAAATCGATGAAGGTTTCGACTATAGAGAGAGAGAGAGAGAGAGAGAGAGAGAGAAGAGAGTTTTTAGAGAAGTTGAGAGAGGGAAACAGAGATTGGGATTTGATATGAAGACTTATAGAAACACCGTATATTTATAGTGGCGGAAGGGACAGCGTTGAGGGTATTAAGGACAATTAATTAATTCGTAGAAATAATAATATTAATTTTAAGTGTGTAAACTAATCATTAAGTGACAACTCAGCGATATACACCGTCCGTAAAATCCTAGCCCTTTGTGATTGTAAAAAAACATTAGACAAAATTCTTACTAAATATCTCATTAGATTCACCGGAACTCATGCAATATGAGGTCTACATTTATATAAGATATTTAATAAAAATTTTATTTAAATTTTTAAAATTTTTACCACTACTCTATAATTCTTGTTTTTGATCTCTTCAATAACTTGTATTTTTTTTTATGAGTAATGTTAAGGATCATGAAAAAAGTGTCACAAAAATAATTATAAAGATTTTTTATCTTTAAATTACACATATAATAAAACATTATACATTAATCAAAAAATAAAAATAAAAAAAATTATAATTATTTTATAATATTTTTTTTCTTAATCCTTAATATTACTCTTTTTGTATTTGCCCGTCATACAATCCTGAACTTCCATGTAACATGTATATTCAATCTGAACTGTCCGATGTCTTCTAATTAAATGACCATTTGGGAAAGGTGTTATGATTGTCAATCACATGGCCAGGTCAAATCCTGATTGGAAAGTTGAGGGAAAGATTCTTTCTTCAACACTGTTTGTTCATTAATTAATGAAAAATATTTGGGAGCATTAATTAGTGTTCCCACTAATTAGGTGACAGTGGGTTCCGTCATTAATGATGTGATGTTTTGATCTTGGAGTTACTTTTTTTTTTTTACTTTTTTAATATATTAATACTATTAGTGATGATGTTTTTAGTGAGATGAATCATTGTTGTTAATTAATAACAAAACTTCCAGGCTACCGTTATGATTGACACGTTCTGGGTTTTCAATTTTTTTCACTTTCTATTATTTTTTTTCAGACTATTTCAATGAAGAGTTCAAGAAAGAAAGAGAGAAAAAATAAAAATAAAAACTTGACTATTTCAATGCATGATTCTTAAATAAAAAATTACAGCTTACGTCTCAATTGTTCCACAAGTTGCTATTGATCTAACACTTCGTTATTTTTTATTATTATGAAAAAATGTTAAAATTAGCGAAGAAGAGTATTGAATAGTTTTTTCTTTAAAAGTGTTTTTAATGTTAAAAATTTATGTAAAAAATATATTAAAATATAAGATAAATTACATTTTATCTCTTTTATGTATGAGTAATTTTTTACTTTTACCTTTTAAAAGTTTACCCTTTATTTTTTTCACCTTGACTTTTGATGTTTTAAGTTTTTCTTTTCAATTTACTCTTAAAGTTAATTTTTTTTCAAAATTTGACAAAAAATATCACGTTAAACTGTCACATAACATAAAAAATATATTATTATATTATAATTTAGATTTGTGTAAGATGCAGTTATACATAATAACTATTTTTATGCGTAAGATGTAGTTATACATAATAACTATTTTTATGCCACGAGATTGTTAATGTGTTATTTTTTATCTACTTTTGAACCTAAGTTAACTTTTGAAGTAAATTAAAAAAAAAAAAAAAAAAAATGATACATGAAAGGCAAAAGTGGGGGAGAAAACACACAAAAAAAAAAACTTGAAGAGCCAAAATATAAAAATGGCCAAACATAAAAGAGATAAAGTGTAATTTACTCTAAACTATATTGAAATGTGAAAAACTATATTGGCATATGAAAATGTATTGAAATTATAAATTATAAACTTAAATGCATGTAATGAGAGTGTAACGCCCCAACCCTTCACATATCATCGATTTTGTCCGCTTTGGCCCATACCCATACGGATTTGTTCTTCCCAGTAAGTCACCCATCCTAAAACTATTCCAGCCTAAGCATGCTTAACTGGAGAGTTCTACTAAGGATTTCACCACCCGAGAAAAGGTTTCGATGCTATATAAGGGTCTACTTTTATAGCTCAGGAACTCATCCTCCATTCTTGATGTGAGATACCGAGACCTTACAATCCACCCCTCTCAAGGCTGCACGTCCCCTTACAGTAACCTACTAACGCACAAGCCCGCTCACATGCACCGAGAGACGCTAGAGGCCCACACTTGGTACTCCAGAGAGTCAGCTCTGATACCATTTGTAACACCCCAATCCTTCACATCTCATCGATATTGTCTGCTTTGGGCCACGTCCGCACGGATTTGTTCGTCCTAGTGGGTCACCCATCTCAGAACTACTCCAGCCTAAGCACGCTTAACTGAGGAGTTCTGCTAGGGATTTCACCACCCGAGAAAAAGCCTCGATGCTCTATAAGCATCCAGGTTTTTACTTTTATAGTCCAAAAATTCCCTCTCCATTACCGATGTGGGACATTGGGATCTTACAGAGAGTTTTGAGGAATTATTTAAAGGTGGCCGACAAAATACATATAAGAAGAATTTAAGGAAACACTTAAAGGTGGGTAACCTTTCAAATTTTGCTTGTCACATCATTAGAGGAATTGTAGGGGAAAAGAAATTGTGTGAATGAATCATTTTTCTATTATTATAATTTTAATTTTCACAATGTTCTAACACAATGAAAATATTGTTTGCCATGATGGTTGAGAGTTTTGCAACTTATTTTTTTTTTATGAATTTTTTCTTTAAAAAAAAAAATGCAATGCAGTTTTTTTGGGTAGTTGTGGATTAGATTAGAAAGTGTCAATCTCTACTTTGACAAGTTATTTTATATGTATTTAATAGTATAAACTCACTTTTTTTTTCCTTCTAATTTTCTTCTCTTACCAATTATGCAAGTAGGAGAAAATGAGCCATAAAAAATGAACAATGTCCTTGATTCAGTTTATAAGCATAGATTAACACTTTCGGGAGGAGTAGGTTAGGGGGTTGAGAAGTTTTTCCCTTTCTATTTTATTTTATTTTTTTTAAATTGTGGAGTGGTTGAGAAGTTTAAGTGCTTTAATCTTTTAAAACAAACAATCATCAATGATATTTTCCAAATTTTAAAACGACAACCATTTACACTATTAATAACATTAAGAGACTGGTAAACGTGTAACAATATATTAAAAAGAGTAAAAAATGTCATATATGTAAAAATATTTTATGGTACACTATAAAAATTATAGGGTTCATTGGATAATTGGTTATAAATCCAATATAAGAAGAGTATAAGACATTAGGTCTAATGGATATTTTTTTGTTGATGAATGGTCCACACTTTGTGAAATAGCTCATCAAGAAATCCTGGAGAATATTTTATTTGCAATTTTACCCCTTGACTTTTTTATCTGTTTGACTTTTCGTTGACTATATGTTCAAATAGACATCTATCTATTCAAATTTTTTGTTTATCTGTTCAAATTTATATCTATCTATTCAAATTTTCCCCCTGAATTATATATATCTGTTCATTTTTTTTCTCAATTCTATTTATCTGTTCAATTTTTTTTCCTGAATTCTATTTTGTTATTTTTTTATCTGTTGAAATCTTTTCTATTGAAATACACCACGCCACTATCTGTTCAAATTTTGAACAGATCTTTTTTTTTTATATATGTTGCACCACAAATTTTTTTTATTTGTGCAATCATCATCATCATCATCAACAACAACAACAACAACAACAATCTGAATCAAGATTACTCCTAGAAGAGTGAGAAGATAGATAGATAGAGAAACAAAATGAAGCATGCAAAACCTAGAGGAAGAGTGAGTGGCCTGTTTTTGTATTGCAATGCAGAAACATGCTGGCCTTGTTTGGTTTGTGTTTCTTAAAAAATTTTGGAAAAAATTCTCTACAAATAAATTTTCAAAAGTAATCAAATCAAACAAATTTTCTCAAAAATTTTTTTCAAAACTTGTTTAGTTTACAAATTTTTCAAATAAATCTCTCTCTCATACACATCAAATCAATCACTTTTTCCAAAACTTTCTCTCAAAATAATTTTTTAAAACATCTTTTAAAAAAAAACCAAACCAAACAAATTTTCATACTTTTTTATCTCAAAACATATTTTTCAAATACAAACCAAACAAGTCCACTAATGTTTTCTCGCCAAGATAGAAAGCCACTGCTCTACTTAAATAAATGTTCACTGCTGCCGCAGTCGTGCCACCAGATCCACTGAACCACTGCGACCTCTTTCGAAATGTTCTGAAATGTTACGGCGGTTTGAGGCGTACAACATTTGAGCAACCAATCAAATTAAGGCAAGCATTCGTTACACACAGAGAGACAAAATTTTGTAGGAATTGAAACATCTCATCGTTTCCTTGAGTAGACTTCTGGAACAAATTAATGTTCAAGACCTAAAATCAAAAAACACAAAAGAATGAATGAATCAATCAAATCAATCAAGGAGATGAGGAAATGATCGAACAAATAAAGGATCTAGAGAGATAGAGGACCGTGACGTGGGAGCAGAGAGAGGGAGAGTTGAGATTGTCGGAAAGTGAAGACATGGCGTAGATTAAAGCCAGCAATGTGACAACGAAAGTTAGCAAGGTGTTGGCTCTATATCTGATGACGACGACGATTTGAGGCGATGAAGCGGTGACGGTGGAGGCGGAGGGGATGCGTTGATGGCGATAGCAGAAACGACGCACATAAGGCTTAGATCAGGATGTGAGAGAAAGAGAGACGGATGGTAGGTAGGGTTTGATTGGTATATATATAGATGGATATTTTGGTCATTTTGCTCCAACTTATTCCTATGGACAAATTATTTCTGCAGATCTTTGGACAAAAAAAAAATATAATTTTAAACTTTTGCCCC